CAGGAGCCAAGGAGTATCCTCCAACTTAAAACAGACCTTTCTTCTTGTTCTCTTTAGGGAGGAATGGGAGCTGCTTTGCTGTCAGATCCTGACAAGATTGAGAAGGTAAGTTCTGCATGAATGAAAGCAGCGTCTTCAAAACATGGCTATGAACTAGAGTTGCCTAGAATGCCTCTCTCCCCATTCCAGATTTACTGAAGTTCCCTTAGTCTATCCATTTGCGGCCTGGAAATTTTTTAGAAAGCTTCCCAGTGCTAGACGCACTGATGCACACCTGTAATCCCAGTGGCTCGGGATTACAAGTGTGCAAAGTTTTTCCAGACTTCACACAAACATCTTTATTTTGAGAAAATTTCAGCAGGTGGTCCTGAGATGCTCCCACGATGAAATCAGGGTCCTAAAACACCAAGCCTGGAACACAAAGCTCACCCACTCACCCAAACTGCTGGAAGATGGTAGGTTTAGTTTATTATGACACTGGAACAAAAGTTCAAAAGTTGGCCCTAGCAATTTTAGCAAGGCCCTAAGCAACTCAGTGAGACCCTGTCTCTAAATAAAATACAAAATTGGGCTGGGGATGTGGCTCAGTGGTCAAATGCCTCTGAGTTCAATACCTGGTACCCTCATCCCCCACCTAAATAAAAAGCTTCCCAATGGTTTTGACATGCAGCCAGGTTTGGAAACCCTTGAGCCAGCGTACAGCATCCTTGAGTTGTATAAAAGCCTGGAACTTGGGCCTTGTCAACTAAGAGCCAGAGAGCCTGAAGACTGGGCTAGAGACTCCTCTGTGTTGTCTCTCTCCTTTCTAAAATGCTCATGAGAGCAGAGGCTAGACCACCTTTGGTGAGGGTAGGCTCTGTGTGTGTGTGTGTGTGTGTGTGTGTGTGTGTGTGTGTGTGTGTTTGGGGGGTAGGTAGATTGTCCTCTCTGAGGGGCCTGGATGAGAGTAGCAGGAGGGTTCTCCTCCATACCACTGGAGTCTCCATCAGTTCTTTGAGAGCAAGCCAGGTCAGGGTCCCATGAAGCAAGCTGAAGTTAGTCTTTCTTTATTTCCCTTCCTGTGGTGATTTTGCAGAAAGGCTTAATGAGTCCCCTGGGTCAGGTTGGTATTTGCTATCTAGTGCTGTGGGCTGCTAGGGGTTGTGGGGGTGATATTCTGCCATATCATACCATATGTACCTTTTCCCTTCCTTTCCTTTCCCAGCTCATCAGCTGTCAGCTTGTTGCTGATCGTAGCTCCTTTGTTTTGCTTTTCATTCACCATCCCTACTTCCTTGTCCAGGATTTGAGCCTCATGGTGCTTCCTGCAGATTAGAGTTACTTGGGACTCAGATACTACCAGTAAGAGCTGCCCTGGTTTGTTCTGGCTGTTGCTGTTCAACCGTGTATATTCTTTCTGTCCAGCTGTCTCTGGGATATAAGAGGACCACAGTATGTGCTGGCTGGATTCCTTCTGATTTTTCCCACATACAGCCACATATGATGTTCCTCTAACATGCATATAATGTATCCTTATCATTTCTAGGGTAGTTTCCTTTCAAAGCATATTCCAATGTTATTTTATTTGTCCCTGAAACCCCTTGAGGTACACAGGGCAGGCATTCATTAGCTGCTGCTGCTTTTTTATTGTTGTTGTTGTTAAAGCAATCTTACTGTGTTGCCCAGGCTGTTCTCAACTCATGGGCTTAAGAGATCTTCTGCCTCAGTCTTCCAAATAAATGGGACTGTTGGCATGCACTACCATGCACAATTACAATCTCATTTTGATCAAAAGTAATCAACTAGTCATGAGTGGTGGCACACTCCCAGCAGCTTGGGAGGCTGAGGCAGGAGAATCACAAGTTTGAAACCAGCCGCAGCAACTTAGTGAGGTTATAAGCAACCTATTGAGACTCTGTCTTAAAAATTTAAAAAAAAAGGGGGTCTTGGGATATGGTTTAGTGGTAAGGGCCCTTAGGTTCAATCCCTAGTACCAATAAGAAACAAAAACAACAGCAACAACCCCCTCCAAACAAAACAAAACAAAAACAGAAAAATAAAGCACACAGAGAGAAAAATGATTTTCTTCAAAATCATATTACAAATAAGAGGCAGGCAGAGCCAACTTTGGAGTCATAGTCTTGTGATTCCTAATGCAGCGTCTGTGCCCCTTCTCAATGACATCTTCCATTAAAGGTGCCTGGCTTCATTTTTAAATGTCTAACCACAGTTCAATATGCAGCGGAGTTTGGAACTTCCAGTGAGACACCCATGTGCAAGATGGAGTGGAAATGGATAGCCATGATGTCAAAGCAGTTAAGAGAGGGGTCCTCAGCACATGGGCATTTTCTTATCGTCTGACCTGGTTTCTCTGACCAATGCTGCTGGCTCTATCCTTTCTGATGTTCCTCTTTGAATGAGGTACATTTATTCATGAAGCAGTAGAGATGCATTCCAGATGCTTAGTTCATTCTGTTTCTTCTTGGGTGAGGGAATCATATAGGTTGGCTAAATGGGGTTTGCCTCATGGAGGGGAAGTTGCAGGGTTGCAGACTTCTCCTACAAAATCCAATGTGATTTTTGCATGGGGCGCTGGATTCAATTTAAGCCCAGATTGTACTAGCAGTTTGGGTGAGTGGGTGAGCTTTGTGTTCCAGGCTTGGTGTTTTAGGACCCTGATTTCATTGTGGGAGCATCTCAGGACCACCTGCTGAAATTTTCTCAAAATAAAGATGTTTGTGTGAAGTCTGGAAAAACTTTGAAAATACTTAGTAATACCACTGAACTAATACCACTGAACTATACACTTAAAAAGGGCAAATTTTTTTTGGGGGGGGTGGTACTAGGTATTGTACTTGGGAGTACTCTGTCACTGAGCTATATACCTAGCCCTTTTTATTTTTTATTTTGAGACAGAGTCTCATTAAGTTCCCCAGGCTGGCCTTGAACTTGTGATCCTCCTGCTCAGACTCCCAAATTGCTGGGATTACAGGCGTGTGCCAACATACTGGGCCCAAGGTGGCAGATTTTATCGTATATAAATTTTATCTCAATTGAAAAAAAAAAGATGCTATCTGTTGAATTCTCTAACCTTGGAGTAGATAGGGATGGGGGATATCAGTCTATTGAAAAAAGGTTCCACTAGGTAATGCTAGTATACTTTCCTTGGATTTAGACCCTCAGTTTTAGACTGTAGCTCTTAGTGATATATGGTCTCACCCCCATCCAAGTTTTCTGTGCATCTTCTGGCTGTCCACAGTATCATTTGTGTGAGTGAAGTTTCTTGAGTCATAGCTACCAGTGAGCAGGCCCAGAACTTGAACTCTGGTCTCACTGATACCCAAGTCTGTGGCTTCCAATCTTCCCACCTGCTTCCTCCTCAACAACCTGGGGAGATAGGGCTGCTTTTTCCCAGGAGGCCAGTTGATCTGGTGAGGCAAGCCTTGGATTGATGTTCTGCTTCTCCACTCAGATATAGGCTTGCCTCTTGTCCTTTATCCCCAGAGATCTTCACCGGGACATGTGGTGTGATGTGGACATGGAGAGTTGTGTCCAGAAGAGTTTCATGCTAGAGCCTGGCTGGAGGACTGCCTCCAGTTGCTGTTTCCCCTCAGTGCTGCCCTTGCAAGTGGTTAGGGCTTTTGGTTACCTAATCTCCTTCCTTGTCCTTAACATGAAATGAACAGAAATTCTATTCTACTTGGTTAAAATACACTAAAAGGAAGTCCTGTAAGACAGAGCATTGGATCAGACCAGCTGGTGCTTCTTAAATTACCGAATATCAGAGGATTCCAAGTGAGTGCTTGCAAGGGAACTGTCGATAGGTGTTGCCTTGAGCCAGAGATAGAAGGAGAGTAAGAATTTTTATTGTGTCATGATGGACCTGGCAGTGCCCTTTTAAGACCTGCCACGGTGTCCTTAGGACCTCAGGCCCAGTCTCCTGAGGCAGCACCTGTGGACTGTTCCTGCCTGCCTGTCAATTTTGCCTGGTCCAGCAGGCCCTGTCTTGCTCATGAGCCATCCACTGGTCAGCCCAGTCTCTTGGTCTGTTATCTTCCAGAGTGGCTACCTTAGCCTGTCCCTGAGAAAAAGTCCTCCTCTGTTCGTTCTCTGCTTTCTGCTGCCCCGCCAGTCTAGAAGACTGGCAGCAGTCACCTAGGTATCTCTTCTGCTGAACAGAGGTTCAGTTCTGGGAAAGTCCTTGAGATCACCCTGTTTCCAACTTGCCTGGGTTGAAATTTTTTATTTGGGAAGAAGATAGCAATGTCACAGCCATGCAGTGTCATTTGCATCTCTCTCGATCTCTGATTCTTGTGAGGTCAGGTCTTGCTGCCTCACTGACACTTTCCTGTATGGCTTCTTGATGTTTTTTTGAAATCCTTTTCAATTATTATGCAATAAACACTTTTTAGCTTGTTGAAAATGTTGTCCTTTTTTTTTTTTTTTTTTTTAGTTTTTTTCTCTGTATATCTGACATCTCCAAAGAGGAATGCAAGGGCCCAGGCCTTTAAAGGCCTTCCTGCTTCCTCACTCTACAGGGCTCAGGACGCACTCAGGGAACATTTCCTTCCCTTCATCCAGAGGAGAAGTTGCCAGCCTGTTCTTATCCAGGGCTGTGCCTCAAAATCATATTGAAAATAAAGTGTGTGGTTAGAAACACATATTCCTAAGCCCTGCCCCTATAGAAATAACAGGATAGAATATAAGAATTTGTGTTTTTTAAGCTTTTCAGATAATTCTGATGCTTGAACCTGGCAAAGGATTACTGCATTCCACACAGGAATGCACGCAGATCCATTCACTCCCTAGTTCATTCAGTGTATTTAACAAGTACATATATACCATTTTGTGCCAGGCAGGGATCACTGGTGTTGGGGCTGAAGCATAGAACAGAGGCACATTCCTTGCCTCATGGAGTATTCCATGTGTATGTGTGTAACAGATTGATATATACATTGTGCATACATGAACTCTCTGTGCCCCTGAAATGCATAGATCTGTAGCAGTATACAAAGCGGTGTGGAAGTTTGTTCTAGAAGAGGTAGGTGCTCCTGTGTGCTCCTCTTTGCAGATCCTCAGCACCCTTGTTAAAGGGACTCGAAGACCTGTGACCTGCAAGATCCGTATTCTGCCTTCAGTAAGTATTGTATTCTATTATCTCAAGGTCTGTTCTTTCAGGTGATGTTGGATTTGGGGATTGTGAATGATTCATGAGGGATGAATTAGGTTTGGTGGAGGGAGTAGAGTTGAGCCCAATTTAGGAGCCAGCAGCTATAACACTGGGGCCCCAGTAACCACTCTTGTGATCTTCCTCAGCTAGAAGATACGTTGAGCCTTGTGAAACGAATAGAAAGGACTGGCATTGCTGCCATCACAGTTCATGGGAGGTGAGTGATTGCCTTTTTAGAGACTGACTGGCTGAGAGATTCCTCAGCCATTTTTATAGTCTCTCACTTACGTATTTTGCCTGCCTCTGCCCAACTCTTTGACAACCTGTGAGTTCAGAGGGCACTCAGACTCCTTGAATGGGCTTACATTTGTCTGTGTTTCTTTTATTGAGCACCTATTGGTGCTAGGCCCTTCTCTGAGCTTGAGAGACACAGAGAAAGAGAAACTCCCCATCCACATTGATATTGAAGAGATGGAGTGATTTGCTCAAACCTGTATCATGCAGACAGAAAGTGGTGGAATTAGAACTCTCACTCTGAAGGTTTTCTTTTGACTTAATAAAGCAATGGCTTCTCCCTTGAATGACCACAGACAGATGGCTATTCATTCATTTATTCATTTATTGTGGTACTAGAGATTGAACCCAGGGGTGCTCCATCACTGGACCACTTCACTAGCCCTTTTTATTTTTTATTTTGAAACTGGGTCTTATAGTTGCTTAGGGTCTTGCTGAGTTGCAGAGGCTTACCTTGAACTTGTGATCCTTCTGCCTCAGCCTTCCACTTCCATTCCACAGTATGCCACCACTCCTGGCAAGATGGCTGTTCTTTTGAAGACATAGCTGCTTTGTAGCTAATGTGTTCCTTTAAGAGAGCCAAGGTGTTTCTGAAGGCTGCTCTTGGTTTCCCAGTCAAATCTGCTCCCTGTGCCCAGGATGTCCTTTCATAAGGAACCCCAGACAACAGACTTTGGCTGGTGACTTCTTGTCTCTAAGAAATGTACCTTTTGGGCTCAGGACTCTTATGGAAGAATCCAAGTTGCTGGTTGTCATTTTGACAGCCTTTTCAGAGGGCATCCAGAGGTCCATCATATACCACAAAAAGCAGAGCTACTCAGATTGAAGGCATATGGGGAGGTGAGAGCCACACATGTATTTACATGCTCTCCTTTCTTGGGCAGTAGGCTTTGGGCTAAAATTGCTTGGTGCCAAATCCTATGTCTGCAGCTTATTAGTTGTGTATCTTTTGGGGAATCACTTCTCTGAGTGCCACAGTCCTAATATGGAAATGAAAATAATTTCTTTTTTATAATTCTGTCATGAACTGTTTATGAGATTGTAAATAAAACCCTTGGCACATAGCCTGGCCATAACCTGGCATTATTCTCTTAATAAAGGAAGATTTTTTTTTTTTTTTTTGGTGCTGGGATTGAACCCGGGGTGCTTTACCACTGAGCTCCATCCCTAGTTCTTTTTTGTTTTTTTAATTTGTTTTGAGACAAGGTCTCACTGAATTGCTGAGACTGGCCTTGAACTTGCAATCCACCAAAGAGGCTTTTACCAGAAGCAGTAGGAAGACAGATTTGGGTTAGTTTTAGGAAAGACTTTCTGACCACTAGAGCTGTTGAGGATGGGCTAAAACTAGCTGGGGATAAAGGGAGACAGAGGTGGAAGCTGAGTTGGCAGGACCTTCTGAGGAATTCAGGAATGTAGCAGAGGGGACACACTCAGAAAAGAACTGTCAACCACCTCGCCTGCTTATCTCTAAGCATGGGTCAGGCGTTGCTTCAGAGTCCCTAAGACTTGCTCACTCATGCACAAGAACTGCTTTCAGTCAACTTTGGAAGGAGGGGCCTTGGGTCATGTCCTGCTTCCCCTGTGGTTTATCATGACAGCCAAGCTCTGTGGCTTGCCCTAGCTGCCCTGGGCACGGGGCCTACGGTGTCAGGTGCTTTTCCCCAGGATCAGCTGTGGAACTTGGCTTCAGCACAGGCAGCTGTGTGGGAGTGATCAGTCTGAGCAGTAGCAGCTGTTCCCAGTCCCTTAGAATAAGACTGGGACAGTCGGGGCAGCATTCTTATAGCACTGTCTCTCATCTCTGGTGGAGGCAAGGGGAAGTCAGGGAAAGCAGCATGACCTTGGTTGCCAAGCCATTTACATTGGCCTCCTGCAGTCATGCCTTGCCTGCTGGCCTCTGAGATTTGGACTTGCCTTCTCAGCATGGACCTCGGCTGCTCCTACTCCTCACCACAGAGTTCTTCCCTAGAGATTAGGGAGGCCATTCCTGCAACCTGTCCTTGATGACCACATGGCTACCTAATCTTCCTGAGGTTCAGTAGGGAGGACAGTAGGTCTTAGCTAAGATAAACATGGGTGAGCACTCAGCCTTCAGCCCCATCTCTCTCTCTCTCTCTGTCTTTTTTGTCTCTAAGGAAGCGGGAGGAGCGACCTCAGCACCCTGTCAGCTGTGAAGTCATCAAAGCCATTGCTGAAACCCTCTCCATTCCTGTCATAGCCAAGTAAGCCTCTCGTCTTCCTCGTTTACTTTTTTACGCCCCAACTCATTCAGAATGGACTTGAGCAGGCATTTAAGAAAAGGAATGAGAACATTAAAAAATGACCATAAGGGCTGGGAATGTGGCTCAGGCGGTAGCGCGCTTGTCTGGCATGCGTGCGGCCCGGGTTTGATCCTCAGCACCACATACCAACAAAGATGTTGTGTCCGCCGGAAACTAAAAAATAAATATTAAAAAAATTCTCTCTCTCTCTCTCTCCTCTCTCACTCCTCTCTTAAAAAAAAAAAAATGACCATAAAGGAAAAGGGGGGGAAAAAGTGGAGCAAGATGCAGAGTGGTAAATGAGGCAGAAAAGTGACTAACAATTAAGTCAGGCCACTTGTGCTCTGGTGAGCGGCTAATGTAGGGTGCAGGGCAGCTCAGGGCCCTCTGATGCCTGAGCTTGGGGAGAGTGATAAGGTAGCTGCTGAAACAGACTGATGGCAAAGTAATGTCATACCCAGGGTGACTCGTGCATGGTGCAATGGTGCAGGGGATTATGTTCATAGGGCTTTGGCTCAGGGAAAGTAATGTAGGTCACAGAAACCCAGAGAAGCACTCTGGGTAGTTATAGTACCAGGAATATGGACCAGCAGGTGTGAGGTACTGACGAGCAGCCCAGAGGCCACACCCACTTGGTACTGGGGAACTGGCTTGTGTTCAGTTCAGCCCTGCACCTAAAGGAGTCTGGGAGGTTGCATACAGGGAAGCCCTGAAAAAAGGCATACCTGATAGGTGGGAGGGAAGAACTAAGGGTTGGGGTGCAGCTGGGCACTGTGTCCCCCAGGTAGTAAATTTTGGGGGTGGCTTAGAGAACCCTTGAGCCTGTCATTTCTACTGTCATCTGAGGGTTCTCGCCTCATTTGACTAGATCTGGACAGAGACTACCAGTTTCCTGATGAAACAGATGAGGACAGAGCACCTTCTGAGAGGATCCTGGAGCATCAGGGCAGAGGAAGGGGAATTATGACCTAATTGGCCTTCTTCCAGACCCTCATGATCACCAGTGTATCCTCCTTTCCAGGGTTTTGACCCAGTACTTAGAAGACATATGGGTGGCTACTCAGTTTTGGTGTTTTAATTTCATGTCTTCAGATGTAGGCTGGCATTTGCTACTGTATTGGATGAGGGAAGAGGAGGAAAGTAAAAGGTCTGGGATACCTAATAAATACCAGGCATGGTTTGGATTACTTTACATGTGTTATCTTACTTAGTGAGATTATAATCTCCATTTTGCTGAAGCTCTAATAACTGAAGTGACTTGGCCAAAACCCCACTGTTAATGAGTGGCAGATCAGGAAGTTGCCTTTTTCTGAAAATACTGGTAGGTTCCATAATGAAGACACACCTAACCCTCCTGTTGCTTTTCAGTGGAGGATCTCATGAACACATCCAGCAGCATTTGGACATAGAGGAATTTCGACAAGCCACAGCTGCCTCTTCAGTGATGGTAGCCCGAGCGGCCATGTGGAACCCATCCATCTTCCTCAAAGAGGGTCTGCGGCCCCTGGAGGAGGTCATGCAGAAGTACATAAGATATGTACGTGTCTGCACTTTTTCAAAACCCCCATTTCTGTCTGCCACAATCCTTCAGAGAGCACTTTATGGGGGCCTCCAGCGGCCAGCAGCCCCTGTTGTTCTGCTCCTTTCCTTTTTAGCTCTTGGAGTGTGGCACTGAGTCTCATCAGCTGCCAAATGAAGAGAAGATGCTAGGATGTGTGCCCCATCATCATCTTCTAAAGCTTTCAGAGGTATAGAGGTCATAGCAAGGACCTTCTGGATCCAGGATGCTGCTGAGACCCCACACACGATATTGTCTTCTTTCTCCCTCACGCTCCACATGTCCACCTGCCCATGCACATGGACAAAGAGGTTTTTGTGTCACTGAAGACAGTCATGGCTCTGTGTTGGAACAGGTGCAGCCAAAGCCAGGAAGAGCCATTGTAGTAGTCATTGCTGGAGACAGATTATCTCTATAGAGATTTCTCACGTTATTTGACTTATCTGTCAAAATCACTTCTAAAACTTTTCTATTGCTAATTTCTAAGATGCTTTGCTATGAGTTAGGGAATAATCTAACTTTAATGCTCTACTTAATGAACAGAATTTTCTAAAGCAGTTTCTTTCCATTGGGAGCACAATGGTAGCACTAGGGGCATTTCCCTGCAAAGGAATTTTTTTTTTATTTTAATTAGTTCACACCTGTCCTGTTTTCCACAACTGTGGGACTCTTCTACACATCTATAGGCAGAGACTGAGTGGTCCTCAAACTCTTCAGTGAATTGGACCTGGGTGGAGAATGTAGCTCTTGCTCAGAGCAGGCTTCCACCTTCTTTAATCCTAGGGCTTACTTGCATGGAGCTACTTATGTCCTCTTTAAGTTATGGCCATGCATGTGGGGTTCCCATGGCCGAGCAAGCTGGGGATGGTAGGAGGACTTGAGCCTTTGTCCAGAGCTGGGAAGCCACTGTCCTAGAGCCTCCTCTCTTCAATGCTACAGCCCTCATCCCCTAGGTTCTGGATGTACTGTTGGGCAGTTTGGTTACAACCAGTTCTCCAGTGGTCTGGGTCAGCTAGAGGCAAGGGACTTTGCCTCGTCCCAGGTCAGCTTTCCATCTCTTCTGGCCAGCTGGCAGATGTATAGCAGAGAAGACATGTTTAGCAGTGCTGAGTCTGCTCACTGGGTGAAAGGTGATGTTATTACTCCTGCTTCACTGTCCCTTGGCAGCTTTCAAGAGGGTGTGTTGTCAGAGAAAGAGAGTGGACTTAAGTGTCAGCAGGGCTGGCTTCTGGTCCAGCCAGATGTCTTCAGGTCCAAATAAGCTGAATCATGGCTCTGCTGCTGGCTGGGGCTTACCCACTTATTTCCCATTTTGTCATGAGTATATCGTAGCACCTTCCTAGGCACTGATGATAAAGACTCAGGCAGAGATTCTAAAATATATAATTTTAGAGAGCAAGGGCTAGGAGGAGAATCTGAAGTTTTTATCTACTATTGCTCTCCTACCCTATCCTTGACCATGTGGGTGTCGATGGTACCCTTGGGCAGTCATCTTTCCTTCCTGAGACTCACTTCCAAGGCTGTGGAGTGGAATAATAGCTGCACTTTGTATAAAGATATGAAGTGACATATAGTATATCAAATATGCTGGTAAATGGAGCTGTACCCTACCCTTGTAGGGGAAGTTGGAGAGAACTTAATCAAGATGTCGGAAGAGAAGGTACACCAGGCTCTAAGAAGACTCTTACCCCTGTCCTTGGTGTTCCCCTTCCCTGTAGTAGGTTTTCCATCATAGTCCTTGGTGGCCAAAGCAGGACAGGGATTCCTGCACTTCTAGACCTCAGGCAAGAAAATGTATTTCTGATTGTGGGCCTTGACTGTGACTCTTAAACTTTGTACCACCAGCTGGAGGAGTAGATGGCTTTTATGGGGTCACACTGCCTTGGCTGTAAGCATATCTCTGATGCCCCTTGGAGCCTTTTTTCTTGCCACCGAAGCCTAGCTCAGGCCTTGGCACCTGCTGGTAGCAGATGGGCTCACACCAGTTTTCTTCTCAGGCGGTGCAGTATGACAACCACTACACCAATACCAAGTACTGCTTGTGCCAGATGCTGCGGGAACAGTTGGAGTCACCCCAGGGAAGGTTGCTCCATGCTGCCCAGTCTTCTCAGGAAATTTGGTAAGAAGGGCAATGAACTATCCATCTGTCTTTGCAGATGTTTCCCAGGCTTGACCTTGAGCCTTATGATGGCCACAGGGTGTCAGGCTACCTAACTTCTGGACGGTGATCTGTAGGAGTGAGGTGATGGTACAGTTTTGCCTCATAGAGTGGGATACTTTCAAAGCTTTGGAATGTTCTAATCCTAGACTCATCTCAACAATAGGGTTTTGTGAAGTAGGGCACTAGTATATTAGAGGAATGCAAAAGATAGGCTTAGGAATTCTGAGGAGGAAGGGGCTTTTCCATTAACAATCCCATAATATGCCAGGCTATAGTCAGGAGAGGTAGGGCTATTGAATGGAGCCTCTGGCCTGGGCCTGTTCCCACACCCATTACATTGCAGTTTGAGAGGCCACTGTTTGGTCCTCCAGATCTGGTGTAGCTACAACTCAGGTGGTTGACACTGGAGGTACTTCATAGCTTAGCCTAATCCTGGCTACCTCAGTTCCAGTTAGGTCCATGGCAGCTCTTTGAGGCCAGATGGGAAGTTGGGAACCACTCAGTGGTCAGGCCTCCATCTCTTCCTGCCATGGGCTGACATAAAGAAGCTGCATAAATCCCAGGTGCTTAATCAGTATAGGGAAACTCTATCACAGCTGCTGGGAATACCCACTTGTCTGGTCATCATGGGGGAGAGACTGTAAGTAGTGGGGGTGACCTTAGGACCTTTTCCACCCAGCCCAGCTTCCCTGCTCAGGGACATTCATTCTAGCTTCCTGTCTAGGTTAATAATGGGCTGGGCAGGAGGCTTTTGTTCTGGCCAGGCCCTCATGGCATTTGGTGCAGTTGATTCTCAGTCGTGGGGCCCTGGGTTCCTAAAGTACCCTGAATGCTGCTCTACTAAGGTGCCTGCTCTGTTCTACTTCCTCTTATAGTGATGCCTTTGGCCTTGGTGCCTTCTATGAGGAGACTACTCAGAAGATGGATGCCCGGAGGGCTGAGCTCTTGGCCAAGACTGCAGAGAAGGTGGGAGAACCAGTTGAAGATACCTCTGGTGTCATTAAAATGGCTGTCAAGTTTGATAGGTAGGTTTCCAGCTTAGCCTTAGCATGGGCCAGGGCCAGTACCTTCAGAGTATGACTAGGCCAACATGCTCATGGTTGCTGTATGTGCTGGGCACAGTGGCACATGCCTGTAATCTCAGCTACTAGGGAGGCTGAGGCAGGAGGATCACAAGTTTGAGACCAACCTGGGCAACTTCTGAGACCCTATCTCAAAAAATAAAAAGGGCTGGGGATGTAGTTTAGTGGTAGAGTGCCCTGGGTTCAGTCTTTAGTATCCCCAAATGCTTAGGTACTACAAATCTCCTTGGATACTTTTTTTTTTTTTTTTTTGGACACAATACCTTTATTTTATTTGTTTACTTTTATGTGGTGCTGAGGATTGAACCCAGGGCCTCACACATGCAAGGTGAGCACTCTACCGCTGAGCCACAACCCCAGCCCCTGGATACTTGTTTGGTTTGGATACTTGTTCCCAAAGAAGGCATTTTCAGCTAAGACAGTCCCTGAAAGCCCAGGCAGGACTGTTTGAGGATATGCGTGTTGTCTCAAGAGCAACCAAACTCTACTTTTTCCCAGACCAATCCCTCTCACCCCTTATGGCAGGGGAACTTGTTTTCTATTCCTAAAAGTCTATGCTTCTTTCCCCCTGGCCTTGAGGAGCTAGCTGCCTACATGGAATTCCCCAACAGCTATAGGAGCTTCACCTTCATTTGACTCTGGATCCCTGCCCACATCCACTGTCCTCACCAGCTCTGTGGTTCCCTCTTTAGGCAGAAGTAGCTTCATATTATGACTCAGCTCTCCCACTTCCTTCCCCCTCACCCCTGTTCTGGCGATTGAACCTGGGGTGCTTTACCACTAAACTATATCCCTATTCCTTTTTATTTTTTTATATTGAGTCAGGGGTCTCACTAAGTTATACAGGCTGACCTAAAACTTGAGGATCCTCCTGACTCAGCTTCCTAAGCCACTACTGGGATTACAGACACTGGGATTACACCACTCCAGGCTTGTGACTCAGCTTTGAATGGTGCCCTCATCCTTGTCTTCTGCCATCTGATCTGAGCCTTTCTTCAGTCCCCGGACCCAGACCAGAATCCAGTCTTCTCTGGCAAGACTGTGTGGTGGGGGTGAGAGGACGACTGTTGGGCAGTCACACGCCAGAGGGAGCTCCCAGTGGGAAGTTGAAACATGTCCCTCCTACATTGTCACTCTGTCTCAGACAGACTGACATCAGAGTTCATTGTGTCCATGGCAGCAACAGATTATTTTGACACTTGGCAGATGGAGTCAGAGTGGGCACTGAGTTAGAATCCTGAGCTAAGTTCCTCACCTTTGTCTACTCTCAGAAATCTTGTGTTGTGAAGCAAATTGGGCCTTCCTTCTTGGTTATTAAAGACTATTTTAAAAATATTTTTTAGTTACACGGACACTATATCTTTATTTTGTTTATTTATTTTTATGTGGTGCTGAGGATCAAACCCAGGGTCTTACATGTTCGAGGCAAGCACTCTGCCGCTGAGCCACAACCCCAGCCCTTAAAGACTGTTTTTCAAGATCGAGTTTTAGGATTCTCTCCACCTTCAGTTTCCCTAGAATGCTGAAGCCCATCTTCGCTTTAGGTAGAACCTAGTTACCAACCACTGGCAGGAAAGGAAGGGGAGCCCAGAGGAGTAGGCATAGGATCCTTAAGGCAGTAGCCTGGGGTCTCAGTTCCTGCAGCCCCTATCAGCTGAGTGGTACCATTGGTAAGAGGGGGAGTGGAGATGGTGAGTGGTTCCTGAATGCTTCTTCAACTTTCCATAGGAGAGCCTATGCACCCCAGATCACCCCCAAGATGTGCCTGCTGGAGTGGTGCCGGAGAGAGAAGTTGGCACAGCCTGTGTATGAGACGGTGAGTTCCTAGCTATGTCTGCCCTGCAACCAGCCATGGTGCTCCCTCCAGTGGTGCCATCGCCTAGTACACCCACAGTTCATACCCTGAATTCTAGACTATTTGGCTAGTGTCTAGCTTTGCCCTCTAGGCATGCAGAAGTTGCTTGTGGCTGGGTCAGTTGCTGATAGCCCTTCCCCTCTGACCTTGGACTATTGTCCAACTTGGCATGTATATCTTTGGATTGGACCTTAGCCAGTGGGGCACAGAACTGGGGCCTAGACATGGGGCCTGTGGTGTGGAAACCTTGAGATTAAAACCTTGCTTCATTTCTTTTGGTCATTCCTTGTTTAGCTGCTCTGCCTCTTCCAGACAGGGTTGTACCTTCTGTGCCTTGTGTCCCCTTCTGCCAGAGTGACTTTTGCAACACAAATCTAACCTCTGTCTCCCTTGCTCAAGTTATCAGCTCCCCAGTGCCTGTAGGATCTAACCCAAGACCCTCAGCATGGAGCATGTGACATCCCATATGCCTTGCTGCTTCAGGTCTCATCCACTCATCCATATCACCTGGTCTTCCAGATGTATCTTCTCTGTCCCCACCCACGTCCTCTTTCAACCCTTTGCCATCTGGTAAACTCCTCAGTAGGAGGAGGTCCCATATTCGAGGGCAGTTAAGGACTTGATGGCCCTTTATTTGGGTTCATGACAGAAATTTTTTGTTAATCTGTATAGGTGGCTTTTTTTCCTTAGAAGATGCACCTCCTTTTACATGGGAGGAGCATATGAATAGACAGCCTTCAGTTGCATTAAGTTAGGTACTTCCCTTTACCTGCCTTTGATGCTATGGGGCAGGTGGGCCTTGAGGGCAATCAGCCCTTTTTCCTTTGTCCTCTGTACCAGGTTCAACGACCCCTAGATCGCATGTTTTGCTCTGTTGTCACCGTTGCAGAGCAAAAGTACCAGTCCACCTTGTGGTGAGTTTTCTTATCAGAGGGTATGAGGCTTGGGGTGGGAGGTCCTGAATCCAGCATTGGTCTGGGAGGGTTGGGTGGATGGTGTGCCTGAGCACTGATGTCCCTGCATGATGACACTTTATTCAGTTTTATCAGAATCTCTGCTAAGGGTGTATAAGAGTAAGAATTCCTGGCCTTTCATCCTGCAACCTGCCCACCTGTCTTATTTCCCTATTACTCATCTGCCCAGGGACAAGTCCAAGAAATTGGCGGAACAGACTGCAGCCATCGTCTGTCTGCGGAGCCAGGGCCTCCCTGAGGGTCGGCTTGGTGAGGAGAGCCTTTCATTGTACAAACGCAAGCGGGAGGCTCTTGACCAAGACTCTGAAGGCCCCAGAACTCAGGAGCCAGCCCTGCCTAGGGAGCTATGCAAGAAGCCCTTTGTGACATTGGGAAGTGGTGAAAAGAGAACCCTGGAAGGTTGGTGACTACTGTCCCTGCCACGGTAACCCTCTCCATGGGCGTGGCACTGAGGTGGCCTTGATACTGGAGCATGAACCAAATGCTACTTGGTCAGTTTGCTGGCCCTGCCTGGCAAGAGTGTAGGAGGTCCAGGACTAGGTCATCAGTCTGGAACACAGGCCAAGGAGTGCCCAGGTGTGTATCACATTTCTTCTGACTGGCAGGGCCAAGTTCCTAGTGATTTGAGTATTGTCTTTGAAAACAGGAGCTTTTCAGGTGGTTTATCTCTAATTTGACATTGGTACAGTGCAATAAAGACACCTTCCCCTGTTACCCATGGCTGACTGCTTCAGCCCTGGGCATCTTCACACATAGACTTGTGTCCTAGCATGATTAGCTTCCAAAGCATGTCCCCTGCACATCCTTATGGGTATGATGGAGCTGGGGGATGGGCTATCAACTTTCAGGCCCACCAGACTTCGGTTGACCTAAAAAGGTCCAAGAGAACCATTCTAACATAGGAAACATGAGGTGTTAGGCTTTACTTGACTTTCCTTAGAAAGAAAAAGTAAATTCTTACTAAAAAAAAAAAAAAAAAAAAAAAAAAAAAGGTAAATTCAATAGAATTTGGAAAAGGACTAGGGTGTCTGCTGCCCCATTAAGTGACCAGCCCAGTGGGGTGGGGAGTGTTGATCTGATTCTTCAGTCTTTAAGCCTGAAAGGTGATTAGAGCTCAGACCTGGTGAAATACTTGCTTTGTATAGTGGGCACTGGAAGCTGTGGGTGACAGCAGTTTGGCTATTGCATTCACAGGTCACACCCACTCTTCCCCCGCCCCAACCAACTTGGGGCGGAAGGAAGTGGCAGATTCACTTTATTTCCTCTTGGCAGTGAGAAGCAAACAATCAGCCACTACCTCCTCATCTCTTGGGGCCTCCCCCACTTACTGGGAGGGGCATTCTGACCAAAGGTCTCTGCCCAGCTCCGCCCCCATTTCCTCTGCTGTAAACATGCTGTGTGTCCTCCCCTTTTCTAGGCACTATGAGGGGAGGATTCCCCTCTGGGCCAAGGCTATCTTCCCTACATCTCCCTTGGATCAACTGAATGGCTCTGTGGCAACCTAACCTAGGGTCTGGCCCCCTTTCTAGCCAGTAGCCCTTGTCTCCATGGGTCTCTGAGTCAAGGGTTTGGTGGGTGAGGCTTTGTCCTAGTGCCAGTGCTGCTCTTCCCTGTCATCCACACTTGCTTTTTTGTGTTGAGATAAGAATACTCAATCCCAGCTGCCTCCCAGAGCCTTGGAACTGTGCAGACAGAATAGCCCCAGTGGAGCGCCCCCTCTGTCACTGGGGAGGCATTGATCTTTTCTCCTGTCAGTGTGGTTTTCCTGGGGATGTCTCCTTCCCTGTCAGGGTTAGGTTCATTGCTGGGCCATGGGGAAGGACAGGCAGGGATAGAGTTCTATTAAGATAGAGGCTGGAGTTTGGAGCCTCTGAGGGCATAGGGGAGAGGCTCATTCACTAGAGTCAGGTAGGGAGGGGCTGGTTACTTTATGTCTGGTGACTGAGGACGTTTGGCATAGGTCCTAGTTGAGGGACTGGGGTGCTGGGGCTCAATGGTAACGCACTTGCCTGACACGTGTGAGGCACTGGGTTCGATTCTTGGCACCACATATAAATAAATAAAGATCTATCAACAACTAAAAAAAATTAAAAAAAAAAAAAGGTCCTGGTTGAATATGTTGGTCCTCAAATGGTCTCACTTTATTGCACCTCAGTGGTAACCTGCCCAAAGCCTGGGACTGAAAGCCTTAGATAAGCCTAAAGACTTTACCCACCATTAGTGACCATGCCTACCTTAAATTAGGCCACTTAAAACCCCCAGACCCCTTTCTGGGCTAGTAGCTATAACACTTATATATCCATTTACCCACTTTTGAGGCCTTTCCCTTAACTCATCATATTTTAGGGACAAAAGGTTGTGTTTTTTTCCTAATATTTATTAGTTATTGATGGACCTTTATTCACTTATTTGTTTATATGTGGTGGTGAGATTCTAACCCAGTGCCCCACACATACTAGGCAAGTGCTCTACCATTGAGCCACAACCCCAGCCGACTAAAGGTTTTGATATGAGCACAAGAGGGAGAGGTGAGTAAGATTGGAGAAGGTGGCAGGATTTTCAATGGTATCCAATGGTAAAGAAGACTGGATTTGTGCAAAGGTGAAGGGGAAATCTCTTAGATCTACAGTTCCTTACCTTAGGGCCTCCCTGGATATCTTGCAACTGCCCTCTGGACTGAGACCAAACCCCTCTGCCTAGTGAGGACAAAGTGCTGACCTATCTTCTCAGCATTCTCAGCACCCTGTGCTGACTCCAGCAGCTAACTTTCTGAGGGTGTAGTTGGCTGGTCTTATCCTTTCCACCCTGATTTGGGAGCTGCACAAGGGCAGTCCTTATGTCCTTTATGGCCAGTGTTGGCCTGAAGGTTGGGGAGCAAGACTAAACCAAGACTTCAGATGAGAGATTCATGGCATGTAGAGGAGGAACTTGTTTAAATTGAGTTTCCGCCAAGCCTCCTGTTTTCCCCTGGAGTGAAATAAGGGGCTGGGTTGGGCTAAACTATACCTTCCTATGGCTTTGAGGACACAGAACCTTCAACAGTGGGACCTCAGGACCAGGCCTGTGGCAGCTGGTAAAAGAAATATCTTTATTTGATATTCAGGCCTGGCTGGGATTCACACATGAGGGAGAAGGGTGTTCCTGCATTCTACTTCCCTGGCTCCTGGGCTTTCATTTCATAGTGCTCTTAGGTAAGGAGTGGATCAGATGACCTGCAGGGCCTTTGGAACTTGTCTTATAAAGAGATAATGAGGGGAGATCTTGGCCCTTGCTGGGAAAGAGGGTGGAAACAGTATGCATTTTTGGGTGTGTGTTTATAGGTCCCTTCATAACCTGCAGCATCCTGGCCATTGTTACTTTTTTTTTTTTTAAACAAAACCAATTGCTCCCTGCAGTTGGTGGCCACTCCTGCCCTAGACCTCATCACTCCTTGTTAAATTCTCAGTTTATTACAGACCAGAAGTCTGCCCCACAACATGACCCATTCTAAGTGTTCTCCAGATGCTGTCCTTGCATTGCTGAGCATTTAATAAATGGGCAAATTTTTCAAGCCATCTACATTTTGTCTGAGGTCCAATTGGAGTATAGGGGTGAAGGAGCTGGCAGGCCCTGGATCTCTCTCTTGCCTGCCCTTTGGTCTGATTGGCTGAGCTCCTGGTTCAGGTGAAATTGTGTCTGGAGGGAAAGAAGACCTGGGATAAAGGTCTAATTTCTAAACGCAGATGACAACCTGGGAGGTATGTGTACAATGGTGGGGAAGGGGAGTCATCCTGAAGTTGCTTTAAGTTTTGTGCGGTGGGGAGGTGAGCTGACTAAGCTTTTGGCACCTTACACTATACCAGGATCATATTGCATGAGGTACTAATAGGTGGGCTGTTAACTTGAGGCAGAGGGCTACAGAGCTGGAATGGCATTAGGGCTCCAGGTTGGAGATCCTCTGAAGGCAGGACTGCTTGTTGGGAAGAACTTTCTACCTAAAGCCATTTTTCCCCCTAGTTGGTCAATTTGTCATCTCCTGCCTTTAACCTCATCCAGCTCCCCATTTCAGCGTTCCATCCAGAATTCTGATCATATAATACCCTTGCTCTAAACCCTTCCATAGCTCTCTACTGTCCTCAGGATATAAATCCAGGCATCTTGCTGTGGCCTATAGTTCTCTGCCCACACATCCAGCTTCCCCTTTGTCTACTGCTTATTGCAGGTACTTTCTGGACTCCAAGTCTTTGGAAGTCTGTTCTTTGCCTGGAATAACCTTTCTTACCTCTTGCTTGTATCTCCTGTTCTTACCTCCCCTATGAAGGTCCTGCAGCCAGGGAATTTTGAACCTTTTCAGAACTGCTGGCACAGCTCTAATCTCTTTGCACAGTAATTAGAGATTTGCTGTTACCCTTCCCCTGACCCCTGAAGGGAGACTTAATTTATCTCTGCATCCCCAGATCCAGAGTAGGTAAAGGCATACAGCACTGGGCAGGAATGAACTGGTCCAAGATGAATGTCTCACATGCTCAGGACATTCCTAGTTCTCCTGACCTAGTTAGGTTCCCCCTAGGGCTCCCTGGTAGCTCAGGAGTCACTGAGATCTCTACAAAGAGCTCCACCTTGCCTCCTCTCCCAGGGTTTTTTGTGGGTGGTGTGGGTATGCTGTAGGCCCTGTGAGGTGGCACTTTTCAGGCCTCCCATCTGCACCCAAGCCTCTTGAGGCAACACCGTGGGTTCCTCCAGTAACGCTCTTCAGGAGAATACTATGCCCTGTGGGCCTTTGCCAGGGGCAAGGAGCCCGGGGAGACCATCATTAGTGCCTCTCCTGACTCTCTGTCTACTCAGGAGCCTCAGTGGATCCCTCAAGTAAACAAGCCCAAGCTCAGAGTCCCCAGACCCAAGAGGCAATGTCTTGGGCCGTCCTAGGAGAAGGCAGGCCTCTGGGGATGGACGGGACAAGATCCCTCCTGCAGTCATGGCTGTGTATGGGGATGTAGAGGTCAAAACTGAGTGGCCGGAGCTCACAAGGAGTTCCCTGCTCTGCCTGCTCAACTTTGATAGGAAGATAAACTCTGCCCCTCTGTCTTTTCGATGGAAGTCACACTGCTTCCAAGCAAGGCAGGCTAGTGGGGCAGACAAAGGTGCAACCATCAAGACGCGGGCCCCCAATCCACCGTAGAGGGTCTGTTGCGTCTCCAGCCCTTTTTATTTTCTATTTTGAGACAAGGTCCTGCTTAAGTTGCTGAGGCTGGCTTTTGCGATATTCCTGCCTCAGCCTCTGCCACTTTAATTGCTGGGATAAGGCGTGCGCCACCGCGCTCAGCGGCTTTTATTTTTGCTCACGCTGACCTCGAGATCACACAGCCTCAGCCTTCCGAGGTGTGGGGATTAAAGGCGCGTGCCGCCCAGGCGGGCCACCATACATTCTTTAAATCAGGAGTAACTCTAAACGGCCGCCCATCATCAAACCCATAACCTTACTGGTGCTCCTTCCTCGACGTGAACTCTGCCTAATGAGGAAAGGCATCTTCTCCAATTGGCCTGTGGTGGTTTCCCTAATCCAACTGAAGAGGACTATGGGCTCTAACACGGGCTTGGTTTAGGAGTTCCAGAGGGAACAGAGGCGTAACTACAACTCCCGGGAGGCAACAAGGCCTTCGTGTCCATATTCACGTGACTTCCTTCTCGCAGACAGGGAAGTCACACGATGGTTGGCGAGGGGCGGGGCCCGCAGCGCTGCCGGCCTACGAGTGGCCGGGTCGGATGGGCGCGCGGCAGGGGGCGGGGCCGGGTGCGCGGTACGGCGCGGGCGCGCGCCAGCAGCGGCGGTGGTGGCGGCGACTCTTGGGGGGCGGGGAACTTTGGCCAAGGCGGCGGTGGCGACTTAGACACCGCAACTGGCGGCGTTTTTGCAGCTCCTGCTGCTGCTCGACGCACGGCCAGCTTTCTACTTCGAAACGAAACGCTCAGCGTGGCGGGCCACGCCCGGAAAGTTTGCCGAAGAGCCACGACCTCCTGGCCGGCGCGGCCCGGCATGAAGCGGCGCTGAGGAGCCCGCTGCCGCCGCCGCCGCCGCCGCCGCCTGAGGAGGAGCCGCGGCATTCCGGGCCACGCCGATGACTACTGCAAACTGTGGCACCCACGACGAGCTCGACTTCAAACTCGTCTTTGGCGAGGACGGGGCGCCGCCGCCGCCGCCCCCAGGCTCGCGGCCTGCAGGTGGGTGCCGGGCCGGGCGGGACTGAGGAACGTGCCTCTCCAGGCTAGTGCGAGCTCGCTTTTGCCTGGTTCTCCGATTGTTCGGGCACTGTTAACCTGGTGTGAGTGAGCGTACTGGGTAAAGACAAATTTAAAGAGCTGAGGAGGTGTGTGAGTTGCTGTACCGTGGCTGCTCGCTTCCCTGTGAAGCAAACTAGGGAGGAACTTGACTCCGGGACGCCAGTGGCCGGTGCATACCCGGGGTTTGGAGGCCGAGGGTCGGGGCCGCAGCCCAAGTGGCGTCTGGTTGTCGCTCCTTTGCCAGCGTGGTGCAGAGAAAATGTTATCCCAGTGTTATGTGAGGCGCACTTGGTATTTCATCTGTGCTAGGTTGTTTTAAAAATTCTTCTTTTTTTTTTTAAAGAGGCGTATTTGAGGGGTAGGATTCTTTTAAAATTCGTGTACTGTTTTAAAAAATCTACGTTGCTAGGGAGTAATGCTTTCGGGATAACTTTCAGTTGTGCAAGTTTATGGCCTATACCTAATTCGGAGTGTAATTATAACGGAATTTATCTGAAAACTGTTTTCTTGCTACAGGAAAGTGTAAGTTTTGTTTTGTTTTAAAGTAGGATATCTTTTTCATAATTATCCTAGAAAGTTCTGAAAGTCTTGTTTTAAGAGAAAGCTGTCTCCTTAGAACATTTTAAAGGAGATCGTAAATTGGGAAAGCTGGACACTGTAATTCTTGCAGGTCAGACCAATCAGGAAATTGAAACAGGACGACTGGGAACTTGGGATTCTCCTATGACCTGGTTTGGAATACTGTGGTTCATTAAGTTCAGTTACATATGCAGGAGAACCCAAAAAAGTGGATGGTAGGGTAATCTCTGTTTATTCTTTCTGGGTATTTAGGTGAATTACTTCATTTTAAAATTGATGTTTAACAAATGGTTCTCTAGAGTTGAATTGGAAATTTACCGAAACGTGAGGCATAAGAATTCTCTGGGCATAAGAATTCTCTGGGCGCTTCAATACTTGTTTTATCAGATCTTTTTATTCTTTATGTTTAGGTGTCTTTTTCAAAGTAATAAATAATTTGTAATAGTTATTTATTGGCTGCATTTCTTTTCCATTTTCTTTCTTTCTTTTTGTACCGGGGATTGAACTCAGGGCCACTCGACCACCGATATCCCCAGCCCTATTTTGTATTTTATTTAGAGAGGGTCTCACTGAGTTGCTTAGTGCCTTGCTTTTGCTGAGGTTGGCTTTGAACTCACCAGCCTCAGTCTCTCGGTACAGGCAGGCATGCTGGCTTTTTTCAGTTCCACCAACATTTGAGCATCTATTATGTTAAATGTGGTGTTACTTTGATGCAAAAAGGACTGGCTTCTCAGGAGTTGGGGCAATAGTTGGAGGAAACACATAGTCCAAATAACTAGGCATATTGACTCATGATGTATTTTGTAACAGAGGAAGAAACAGGAAAAGTGGAATTTGTGGAGAGGATGGCATTAAATTGTACTCAGATTATTGGGACTAAATAAAATAAAAACAACGTGTTAGAGTACGTTATAAAGAAGATAAACAATTGATACCAACTTTCCTAGGCACAGATTTTGCTAGGGTCAATTGTACACTAAATATATAATTAATAAAGGTGTTAACCAAACATGAATTTTAAAAGGGTGTTGTCATCTAAGTAGGAATTGTATGTACATCAGAAGAAGAAAAAAAAAACAAAACACCTTTTTTCTTTGTGATACTGGGGATTGAGCCCAGGGTGCTCTGCCAACTTGAGTTAAACATTTTTTATTTTGGGGGGGGGTAGCCTTTTTTTTTTTTTCTTTAAGGGTAGTGGGAATTTAACTGGGCTTTATCTTAAACCCTTTTAAAATTTTATTTGAGACAGATTCTTTGCTAAGTTGCTGAGGCTGGTCTTGAGCTTGCAATTCTCCGGCCCAAGTCTTCCCAAGTTTCTGGAATTACAAATGTGCACTACCATGCCCGGCTTTTTATTTTTTACTTATTTTTTTGGTACCAGGGATTGAACCCAGGGACACTTGACCACTGAGCCACATCCCCAGCCCTTGTTTATTTTGAGGCACAGTCTTCCTAAATTGCTGAGGCTGGCCTTAATTGTATGATCCTCCTACCTGAGCCTTCTGAGTAGCTGGTATTACAGGTGAATGCCAGTTGCCCCCTGCAGAAATAAACGTTTGATATTAAAATGAGTCTTTTATAATTACTAAAGGTAAAATGAGTAGTTTTATTTATGACAAAAAAAAGTCCGCTTTTCTAACTGGTAAAGTTTTTAAAAATTAAGGTGAAGTACATGTGAATAAGTAAACTATTTTCAAATCAACAATTTACTGTCATTTAGTTCACTCATAGTATTGTGCCTTACCACTTCTAATTCCAGATCATCTTCATTACCCCAAAAGAAAACTTGTACCCATTAAACCTCATTCTTCTTCCCCTCCCAGCCTTTGGCTACCAACAATCTGATAAGTGTAATTATGAGTACAGTATGTTTCCAGGGATTGATTCATTCTGTGTATTTCATATAAATGAAATAATATGATATATAACCTTTTGTCTCTGATTTCTTTCAATTAAGATGTTTTCATAGTTTGTTCACTGTCTATCATGTATGCATACTGCATTCCTTTCTAGAGCTAAGGTAGTATTCCATTGTGAACATATAACTCATCACAATATATTTATCTCTTCATCCAGTGATAGACATTTGGGTTGTTCCATCTTTTGGTTATTGTGAATAGTGCTGCTGAACAGCACTGATAAGTGTAATTATGAGTACAGTTTGTACTTTAAAGGAATTAAGTAGATTAATTGAATGCTTTTGGGAAGGTAGAATATGCAGTGAGGTAGGCCATGAGAATAAAATTGGAGAATTGATCAGTACTTGGTTGTTTAAATGTATTTACTTGGTTTTGGATTCTTTTCCTCTCTGGAATGGAAGCTCCTTGAGAGGAGGGTTAGTGTTTGTATGTTGTTAATAATTATATTGTTCTTCGTTGTGGCTAGCACACTGCTTTGATGCAGTAGGCACCTGATATTTTTTTAATTAATAAATAAATACCATGTTGAAAATTAAAAAAATTATATTAAGTTGTATATAGACACAATACCTTTATTTTATTTATTTATTTTTATGTGGTGCTGAGGATAGAACCCAGTGCCTCACAGGTGCTAGGTAAGCGCTCTACCACTGAGCCACACCCCCACACCCCCCATGTAAAATTTTGAGTCAGTCATTTTTTTCCCAGTAGATGAAGTTAATGATGTTTTTTCAGTTCTTTGGCTTTTGTTGGTTTAATTTCATAAGGTAGCAAATCATGATAATTTGGGCCTGCAGTGGGTATGCATCTCTCAAAAGGTTTGAGGGTACTTAGCACATCTAAATTTTTTAAAATTTCTCTTTCTTTTTTGGGGGGGGCACATCTAAATTTTCATACAGGGAAAATATTTTTGAAAAATGTTTGGTGGGAGGAGGAGATAGAGAGTAAAGCCAATCTAAGGGCTGAATTTAATGTGTGTGCTAAGCAAGCTTGCTAAAGCTTCTACACAGTAGATGATTTGTGGCGTACTTGATAGCATTGAATATATATATATATATATATATATATGATTTTTTTTAATGTTTTGCTTATTGAGGTGTTTTGAGATTTTTTTCCCATTGAAGAAAATTTAAGACTCTAGAGTCTTTAGTTTTTTATTTTTGTTTTAGCTCCCAGTGCTTCCTCTGATTTTCCCAGTTAAAACGGGAAAACTATTTTATTAGACTTTCTTCTTGTACCCAGCTTCAAATTGATGATACCTACCCCTTAATAGTAAATAGGGACTTTAAAGTAGGTACCTGTTTAATATTAATTTCATTATTTGCCATTGTAAAGACCAGCTTCTGATACCCTATTTTGGTGTACTAAATATATCTAATTTTGATGTTATAATAAACTTTATTTTGCAAATTCAGAGTTTCATTGTGAAATATTGATTTTCTAATCTTCAACGGGAGTCACTGGGAGGAATGTATGCTACACTGTGTAGTATCTTAACCTACTGCAGTTTCCTAAAAGAAGCAATATCTTAGATATAATACATATTTTTGTAAGAAACTTTATTATAAGATTTAATTTTGCCAGGTATTATTTAAAAAAAAAAAACTTGTGACAAGTTTTTTCACATGTGAAATTGAGGAACTTTTCTCGGATGATCTATCTATTTATTTATTTGGTACTCAGGGGTACTCAACCACTGAGTCAATCCCAGCCCTATTTTGTATTTTATTTATAGTTAGGGTCTCTCTGAGTTGCTTAGTGCCTCACTTTTGCTGAGGCTGGCTTTGAACCAGTAATCCTGCCTCAGCCTCTAAAGCCACTGGGATTACAGGCATGCGCCACCATGCCCAGTTTGGGTGATTGTTTAAGACTATGATTTAGTGTTTTTGTCTTGTGCTTGGAGATCTGCTCTATGTGTTCATTATAATTTATTGCCTCTTAGATTATTTTCTCATTTTTCAGTTTTATTTTTTACTCAAGGGTTTTATTTTGATGCTCTTTAATGGTAGTTAACTTTTTTTGTAACAAAATAGGCTGGTTCCCCCCACCCCTGCTAGTTGTCAAATTTGGTTTTAGACATTTTATCTGTTTTTTAAAATTCTCTTAATTCTAGTCTTTATTCTTTAAATGTTACTTCTTTTCTCATATTTTACCAAGTAAGTGTAAGTACTGAAGGTCATTTGCTTTTTATTTATTTATTTTAGTTGTCAATGGACCTTGATTTATTCATGTGCGTTGCTGAGAATCCAGCTCACTGCCTCACACATTAAGCAAGCATTCTACAACTCCGGCCAGGTCATTTCCCTTTATTAGGGGGGACCAGGGATGGAACTCAAGGGTACTCAGCCACTGAGCCACATCCCCAGTCCTGTTTTGTATTTTATTTAGAGACAAAGTCTCACTGAGTTGCTTAGTGCCCCACAGTTGCTGAGGCTGACCAGT